ATAATCCTCTGGGCCAGAGCAGCTCTCCAGTCAGAGGAGCGAGGAGTGGCCGCACTGTTTCCATGAGTCTCCAGCTTGTGGCAGACCTTCCAGAGGCTTCCTGGCCATGTAAATGTAAGGATGCGGTGATCTGTGGCTGGACCCAGGTCCCAGGCCCGCCGTTCACTAGCTGCAGCCGTGGGCAGGTCACTTCAACATTTTCTCAGCTGGAAGATGGGGCTTGTTGATGCCACTGCACTTAACTGGGCCCCCCCACTGGGCTATATTTTCGGGGGACAAGCCACACCTGGATGCAAGAAACCAGAGCAGGCAGGGGGCCAGAGATCCCAGATGCTGGGGGTAGCAAGACAGTGCTGGCCCTCCTAGCTTGGCCCTGAGCAGGGAACAGGCCTGCTCCATGCTGTGGGAGGCTCCGTGCTGGGGGAGAGAGCCTTGTAAGGGAACACCACCAGCTTGCACACCACCTCCCGCCAGGGAGGAAGGACATGGCCCCTGAGGCCCCTAGGGTCCCTCTGATGGTGCTTGGCCCGCACTGCCCCAGGACTTCCAACACTACAGGGACCCTGAATAACAGCCATCAGAGATGAATTAATGACTTGCAACCCAGAACAGTGAGAAAGAGGTACTTCTTTCTTCCATTCGTTCCTTCATTCACTGCTTCATTTCACCAACCGCTCCCCAACCAGACTTGTTCCCTGGGGCCAGGGAACAAAGGTGGCCTGGACACAGGCACTGACCTCTTGCACAGCAGCAGATCGTTCTGGCTTTTAATAATTCTCAGCTCCACAGAAGGACAAAAAACCCTACTAATTACTAGGAAAAGCCCAGCCACGAGAAGCAAACCTTGTCATCGTGCAAAACCGCTTACTATCTGAGCAGCCCGGTTGCTGCTCACCTGACCTCCGCAGGAATGACAGGTCACCAGGCCTTGCCGGGTGGCAGGCACCGGGCTGGGGCTCAGTCAGTATGAACTGTTACTATGGCTCCTTCCTTGAGCTCAAAGGTCTGGGATTTTTTTCTCTTGAGACTCCATGAAAGGTATCCTCTCCTCTCATTCAGAAAAATGCAAACAGGAACAGGGGCATGCAATTCTACTGAATTTTTGCACACCCTGAAGTCCCCCCACCAAACCCAGGTTAGGAGCCGCCGTTCTGCCTCTGCACCCCTTACTATCTGTGTGGCTCGGGTAATACTAAGGACCACGCAGAGCTACCCTAAGGATTGGATGAGGTGGTGTTTACAAAACAACAGGCCCATGGCTCAGCCGGTTAGGCGGCTGACTTCCGCTCAGGTCATGATCTCTCGGTCCGTGAGTTCGAGCCCCGCGTCGGGCTCTGTGCTGACAGCTCAGAGCCTGGAGCCTGTTTCAGATTCCGTGTCTCCCTCTCTCTCTGACCCTCCCCCGTTCATGCTCTGTCTCCCTCTGTCTCAAAAATAAGTAAACGTTAAAAAAAAATTTTTAAACAAAACAAAACAACAGGCCCAGCCTCCCACACAGTGCATGCAGGACAGGCTCAGGCACTGCCCCCTTCTCTAAGGGTGCAGCTGAAAGGTGGTGAACTTGAGTTCCGGTACTGATGGTGCAGCTTAACTGGCTATGTGACCTTGAGTAAGTCACTTCATCTCCCCGAGCCTCAATTTCATCTATAAAATGGCACTAATCACCTCCACCTCCAAAGTCAAGGCAGTTAAAGGAGATTCTCAACACGAAAGCCCAGTAGCAAAGCCACACCGATTAACACGCTCTCCTTGAACCTCTGGCAAACAAAACCCACCAGCAAGTATCACACTTACACCACCTTATTCAGGCTCCCTACAAATCTGTGCCTTCCTAGAACTAAGTCTATCAGCACACCCTCTGTTATTATCAACAGGCAGTATGAGAAGTGGCCAAACCCAGGCAGTTCCTGCATCTGTCAGTGAACTTGTCCCTTACACAGTCCCCTTACACAAGACCCCCCCCCATCCTCTCCAGATCGTGGCACTAGGAAAGTTTGACCATTCCGCCGATCCATTTGCTTCCTCTTCTGCAATTAAAGAGCTCCGTGACCCCATGCACTTCCCTTTTGTAATTTTTTAAAATGTACTGATTGATTGATTGATTGCTCTAGCTGCTGGAAAGTTCTGAGCTTAGCTTTGGTTCTATTCCCGGGAAAAAAAATGTACCAACTTTTTTGTTCTATACCGAGATTAAACCCGCAACATTCCACAATTTGTATATGGACCCCAATGAAATGTTTTTATTTTTTATTTTTTTTTTTTTTAAATTTTTTTTTCAACGTTTTTATTTATTTTTGGGACAGAGAGAGACAGAGCATGAACGGGGGAGGGGCAGAGAGAGAGGGAGACACAGAATCGGAAACAGGCTCCAGGCTCTGAGCCATCAGCCCAGAGCCCGACGCGGGGCTCGAACCCACGGACCGCGAGATCGTGACCCGGCTGAAGTCGGACGCTTAACCGACTGCGCCACCCAGGCGCCCCTAAATGTTTTTAAAAGATAATCATCCTGCAGAAGTCTGAAGAAACAACGCTCCTTGGTATTAATCACACATGTGTTAGAATGATATTCCATTAACCTTTGTGTAAATACCACCTGACTATACCCTCACATGTGGCAAAATAGGGTTTGGTTTTTCTTCCTTTTTCTTTTTTTTTTGAAAGTGTTTTTACCCCCGATTGGTTTTAAAAATTTCACATCTTAGGGAGCCTGGGTCGCTCAGTTGGTTAAGCATCTGACTTTGGCTCAAGTCATGATCTCACAGTTCATGGGTTTGAGCCCCACATTGGGGCTCTGTGCCGACAGCTCAGAGCCTGGAGCCTGCTTCGGATTCTGTCTCCCTCTCTCTCTGCCCCTCCCTTGTTCAAGCTCGGCCTCTCTCTGTCTCAAAAATAAATAAACATTTAAAAAAAATTGTTTTAATAAATAAATAAAAATTTCACATCTTAGTGCCCTGATGGGATGGGGGAAAGAAAAAAAGTCCCTTTCATGATAGTTCTTACTAGGTTCCATTCCATGTGTCTTAACGTTCTACCTTTCACCTTGTCACTGGCAGGGCTGTACGGGACTTCTACTGAAATGCGTGGGGTTTAGTTAACAAAATAATCTCAATTAATAAAAATAACAGAGTAAAAATAAAATAATCATCTTAATACCTTTCGAAGTTACGAAATATGCATGCTTAGAAGATAGAATGGAGGTACGTACATCAATGCTCAGGGAAGGATTACAGGTGGTCTATACTTAAATGTTTTCCAAATTTTATTCAACAAATATGTATAAAAATATTAGAAATACTTTGTTTTTAATGGGAAGAACAGGCCTAAAATAACCCCTGGCTGTAGATGCATCGATTCCTCTGAAGGAGGAGGAAGTTATCTGTGGCTGTCCACAATTAAAGCAGGCCTGTGTCCACGGTGT